ACCTTCGGTGTATAGGACGCAAGCAGATTTTGACATCAAATTTTGGGGTAAAAAGTGCGTCTTATACACCGAAAAATCCGGTAGGTGATAAGTGGTTAATCGAATGATATATAGGATTTCACATTTATATTTTAGATTAAGCTTAGCTTAGAAGTTAATTGGAATGCAAAAATGAGACTATAAAGTTTATTATTTAAAATGTTTTCACTTTGATTTACAAACACCTTCAATCAGGATTGAAAAAAAAACTGATTAAATCACATAATAGGTTACCAGTTTTGGTAACCTCAAAGTAATTATTTTTTCAGCTTATATGTGAATTTGTAACCTATTATACACCAGGCGAGTGTTGTATTAACTGGGTCATGGGGGCGTTATATTGTGACAGTCAATCCCACTATTCGTTGGTGAAAAAACAGTCCAAGAGTTTCACTGCTAAATTAGGGACAGCTAGCGCAGTTAGCCCTCGTGTAGCTTTGCGCGAAATTCAAACCAAATCTCTATAAAAGACATGGAAGGCCAGCCCTTGTCAGAATGAGTAGATCAACTTCAAGCTTATACCCAAGAATTTCAGCTGAGGGCCACTATAACTATGCCATACTTGGAAGCAGAAGATGTGCGAGACCAATTCTACTTTCTGGTCTACTAGAAATTCATAGACTGTAATAAGAACTTTGTGGAAAATAGTAGCGGTTTTTAAGAACCTGTTTACACTGGGGCTTTTTTATTTCTTACTCAATACGGTTTGGTTTGTTTCGAGAACAGTGTGAACAACAAAATTCGATTGCAAACGAGCTGAACAGAGCTGAGTCCACCAGAATATGTTGTCTTGTAAAAGCGCTTCTTGAAAAACTTGAACGCACACACTGATAGGTCTAGGTGATGTGAACCATGAAAATGAACGAAAGTTCACTTGTAAACGAACTCAGAAGGGTCTTACACAAGGCAAGTGTGAAAAACTAGCACATTCATCAATGCAAACGAATTAAACTGAGACCGTTTGAAATAAGCCTACTGTGAACGTTGCCTAATACAATAAAGTAAACTAAGAAATATTTTAATGGGCTTACACGAAGTGGTTGAATGTAAAAAAAGTATATGTTACGTGATCTTTCATTTACATCACACCTCCATCAATGAACAATAATTACAAGCTGTAACTAATAATAAAATAATCCTGATGTATTAATACTTACTTACTAATTATAAGTATTACAAACTGTAACTGTTTGTTTGTAATTAAGCACAAAACTACACAATGGGCTATCTGTGCTCTGCCTACCACGAGTATCGAAACCCGGATTCTAGCATTGTAAGTCCGCAGACATACCGCTGTGCCACTGGGGGCCAAGCTGTAACTAATAATAAAATAATCCTGATGTATTAATACTTTCTTTACTAATTATAAGTATTACAAAGCTGTGCCTTGTAATAAAACAATCCCGCTGTATTAGTAGTTTCGTTTTGAGTTTAGTTACTGATTATAAATATTATAAGCTGTATCCTGTAATAAAATAATCCCACTGTATTAGTAGTTTCGTTTTGAGTTTACTTACTGATTACAAATATTATAAGCTGTACCTTGTTATTAAATAATCCCGCTGTATACTCTACATGAAGCGAAGAGATACAACTCTCCTTATAGAATATTGTTTTCTTTGCCACAAGCAAAAACTGTTTATTATTCTTAATCCACTTAACAAGTTTAACAAAAACTACTTAATATTATAGCTGTAAA